AGGATGGGGGGAAGGGGGCTGGATATCCCAAGCACCAGATACGATTTTAAAATATTGCAAATAAAGAATTCGTTGAGAGGGGGGAAAATAAAACATGAATAAAACTTTAGATTTGGCCAAAATATAGAAAGCTTAAAGCAGATTTACAGTGTTAAATTGGCAATATTTCTGAAGGCACAAGTTCAGATTGCTCAGGCGTTTTGCCTTGTGAATACTAACAAATCTGTAAATTCTTACAGCATGTTGTGCTGAAAAAAAAAGGAATTAATATAAGCCACTGGTGCACTTTTCAGTTCTTTCTGGGGATCTGGTGAAGCAATACAGGGATGAGCCCAGAGCAGCCGGTGTCCCAGATAACAGGTCTGTGTGCATTGGACTTACCAGTGAGATTTTCAGCAGAGAGTAAAGAATTTGTCTCCCGCTACTTCAACTGATTCAGCAACCTGAGCTGCATAAAGTCATAGTGTGTCACAAATGTATGTTCATGTGCAGTTGTCAACTGATCCTAATTATCACCTATTAAAAGAACTTTTTATTAAGAGTTTTCCCTCATGAGAGTGATGTGAGAAAATGAAATGCTGAGAATTAACAAAGCCTTATTGTTCTGGGTAGCTCAGGAACTGTTCATATACTAATGACATGCACAGTAAATACATCATGTCCTCATCTGACCTAGTGTGAAAGTTTGGGGTTTTTTTAATCCAGTTACTTGTGTTTAAAGATAAAGGGTTTTTTTATTATTCTTATTATGAGAAAACTAAAACAAAAAAATGCTTGTTTAATTTTTTTCCTTTTTTTTTTTTTTGGTTTTGCATCCTATTACAAGCTGCACTGGATTTGTATTTTCAACTCTGTTACATTGGTATCTCCAGCCCCCTTTTTGTGGTGTCTTTTAATTTTCTCCAAGATTCACTGTTTGTGTATATGTGCTCTAGTGAACTCGTGAAGAAACTGGGATCAGCAGCACTGGATTGTAAAATACTGTACTGAAATTCATTGTCGATATTTCCTTGCGTTGTAATTTCAAATACTCAGGTAACTGTAACAGTATCTCCGTAAGTCAAATACTTTTATAAAACTACTTAAAGAACTGGTAGTTCTGGTCGCCCTTCCTGGTGTGTGATGGAACATCTGCGTGCAGATGAATTGTCTGGGGTCGGGCTGCCTCGGGTTGTCCTTCCCTTCTTTGGGAATGTTTCTTTCCTGAGACCTCTGTTGTGGGTTGCACTGGACATTTATTAAGAGCTTTTGGACACAATTCCCGTGGATGCTGCCCTGCAGAGCCAGTGAGGGACATGGGCTGGAGAAAGGTTCTGCACGAGCCACAGCTGTAACATTTCCTTATGGCACTGCTGTAGGGATAACGAAAAGGAGGAATGACACTGCAAGTGGTCAGGATTGACAGTGTGCCACAAAGGAGGAGGGGAAATCCAGTGAGCCCCACCAGGTTTGTGGTGTCCCTGAGCCTCCCTGAAGGGAGAACTGGCCTTCACATTCTCCCTGTCATCAGGCGCCTCTCCTGCTGGCCATGACCTTTCCCAGATAACTGAAATGGGGTTTGCAGTGACATTCCAGCTCCTCTGGGCTAACAGGAACATCCCATCAGGTATCAGGGACTTGGTTATGTCCAGTTTGGTCAAATGGTCCCTGAACAGGTCATCCTGCCTGATATTCCTTGCTGCAGGCCTTCCCACGGGGCTCTCCCTTGGCTGACTTTCCCAGGTGTTCCCACAGGCTGGCCTAACACAGTCTTGGCAGTGGCAGCAAATCCCAAGGATGACTTTCTGTGCCAGGTAAATACAATAGCAATTCCCTTTTTCTGCAGCTGTCATGTTGGTTTGGAGTTGCTTCCTCCAGGGCTTGGATGGGAACCACTTAACAGCATCCTATAGTAAGCTGTGGAAACTGGATGATCATCAGGGTCCCCTTCCAACCCAAACCATTCTGCGATTCTATGATAAGGGACATGGGGAGTTCCCCCCCTCCCCTGGCTGCATCTCCTCAGCTGCTGCCAGAGCCCCTCAGGACAGGGGCAGGGTGGGGAAGGCCAGTCCAAGGCACAGTACTCCCCAAATTCCTGGGATCTGCACCCCAAAACCCTGGGACGGTCCTGCCAGGCCCTGAGGGTGCCCACACCTCCTGCCCCTGCCAGGGAGAAGGGATGAGCACTCTGCACCCCCGGGGGAGGGATCGGGGATGGGCCACAGTCTGGTGGCAAAACCAAGTAACGCCCTGAAGAACTTCATACCACACCACCTCAGCTGTGTCCTACACACACAGCACCAGCACTGGGCACTTGTCCTCGGGCTCTGCTTGAAACGAGCCCTACAATGGTTTGGGCTGGACGGACCTTAAAAGTTATCATGAATTCCAACCCCCTGCCATGGGGACACCTTCCACCAGCCCAGGTCGCTCCAAGCCCCATCCAACCTGGCCTTGGACACTTCCAGGGATCCAGGGGCAGCCACAGCTTCTCTGGGCAACCTGTGCCAGGGCCTGCCCACCCTCAATGGGAAGGATTTTCTCCTCTGTCAGCACGAAGCCATTCCCCTTGTCCTGTCACTCCGGGCTTCTGGAAACAGTCTTTCCCCACCTTTGTTCCCTCCAGGTACTGGAAGGCTGGAGGTTATTTTAGAGGTTATTTGCGGGATCACTGACGTCCCCAGGGCGGGATGGAGGACCCGCTGGGCCGCGGGGAGCGGCGGCGCCGGGGGATTGGGGTGTATTTGCGGGTGTTTGGGGGTTCTGTGGGATGCTGGAGGATGTTTCCCCGGGGGTCCGGGTGTATTTGCGGGTGTTTGGGGGGTTCTGTGGGATGCTGGAGGATGTTTCCCCGGGGGTCCG